TCTGGCATCAGCTCTGATTTGGTTGCGTTCATCCTGCAAGCCTTCCAGTAGCTCGTCCTGAAGAATTTTCACCACTTCCAGATCAGATTCATTACGCATTTTGACGCCGAACATAATTTCAAACGGAGTGTACTTCGTAGATGAGTGGACATGTGTATTAATAGATCGTTGCACCTGTGATGTATATTTATACCATTTTGACGGCTCGGCTGCAGACATTTTTGACAAAACAGACAGAATAACTCGGTTGACTCTCTCTATCTGCCCATTTCCTCTTGGGATCCCTGTAGTAGTCTCGATGTGCTCTATTTTGTGTTCCTCACAAAAATCTTTAAACTGCTTCGATATAAATGCTGCTCCTTTGTCGCTGATAATACGCCGTGGATTCCCAAAGATAGCTACCCACGAGCTGATATGTTTAACAACTTCTTGCGCATCGGTAGACTTTGTTGGATACAACCATGTGTATTTTGAAAACCCGTCAACAGCAGCGAATATGTATTTGTACTTCTTTGCAGTCAGGTCCAATGATCCCAAATGATCTACATGGAGTGTACTCAGCGGCTGATCTTCTTTGTCGATACAATGCAAAAAATCATCTTGTTTACCCAGCTTTCTGTTATGTGTTATACACTCAATGCAATTCGCGATAAATTCCACAACTTTTTTCTCTAAGTGTGCTATAAAATAGTCCTGCTGAATGTGATGCATGGTTTTCTTCACACCCATATGACCAAAGTTATGAGCATTCCTGATAACTTCTTTTTCCATGCATTTCGGTACGGCTAGCAAATCAATACCATCTACTTGTTTATAAATCAGCTGATTTCTGACCTTGTAGTTTGCGTATGGTTTCAGTTTTAAAATTTCTGCAACTGCAACTAAGGTTTCATCTTTGCGTTGGGCCTTTAAAAATTGTGCCTGAACTTCTGTGCTTACGATCATGACTGGGAATCGACTGAGGCTGTCGACATGCTTCATCCTTATACCAGCGCGATGTTCTATGGTATACGTAAAATCTTGCAGATACATTAACCACTGCACTACTTCTCTGGGAATTTCTTTTTTCGTTGATGTCATCTTAAACGCTGCGCAATCAGTAACGAGAACAAATTCAATGCCCATTAAATAATGTCGTAGCTTTTTTGTTGCTAAATATGCTGCTTTCACTTCCAAAAAATAGCTATGCAACTTTTCTTCTTGAGGTGTCGTTTTTTTACTCCAGTACAGAATAGGATGCCACTTGCCATCATGCTGCTGGAGAAGAGTAGCACCAAACCCATCTTTTGACGCATCAACATGTAACTGTGTTGCCGCATTCTGCATAAATATCTTCAATACTGGTTCATTCGTCAAAGCATTCTTTAATTGTTCTATCGCCTGTACATGTAACCCTTCAATTTTGAATTCGGCTTCTTTTCTCAACAATTGTGTCAACGGTCTGGCTAGTAATGCATAATCTTTAACGAACTTTCGAAAATACCCCGTTAGTCCAAGAAAGGCCTGTACTCCCCGTATGTTTTTGGGAAGAGGAAAATTCTTCACAGCTTTTACCTTTTCTTGACCTGGCCAAACACGTCCGTTTTCTACTTCATGACCCAGAAAATTTATTTTCTTCTTTAAGAACTGACACTTGGCCCATTTTATATCAAGCCCATACATTTCTGCCTGCTTCAGTACAATTCGCATATTTTCCAAACATTGACCAGCTGAATCTCCGAAAATAACTATGTCGTCAACATACATCTCCATTATGCCTTTGTTAATCAATGTTTGAAATATGTAATTAACGTATCGTACGAACACTGCTGGGGAGTTGCAAAATCCAAAGGGTGCCCTATTAAATTCATACAACCCTTCCTTGGTAACAAACGCTGTATACTTTCGACTTTGCTCCTCTACCTGCACATGAAAAAAGCCATTTCGCAAATCCATAACAGTAAAATATTTCGCATTTTGCATCTTCTCGAGTACTTCTTCGACAACTGGTACTGGGAACCTATCCTTAAGTACGAGGGTATTCAGCTTACGATAGTCCACACATAATCGGTAGGTCCTATCTTTCTTTTTGGCCAACACCACCTTGCTTGCAACGTTTGACGACGACTCTCTGATAATGCCACAGTGAAGCCATTCATCCACCTGTTTTCGTACAAATTCACGTTCTGTTGTAGACAATCGGCTTGGACTTTCGCGAAAAGCGATGCTTGGAACATTCGGTATGATGGTCATTTTTATTGGGCATTCTACTGCATTGTCCACCGGCTTGTAATTGGCGATCATTTGTTTGACTGGTTCGGCATACTGGGATTCAACATTTAAATCGATCTCGCTTGCTGGACTTACCACGTTAAAAACATTCAACTCAGACTGCTCATCATCAGCTTTTGTTTGCGCCTGTACGAACGTGTAACCATTGGAATTTAGTGTGACAGTAAACTTCTGTAAAAAGTCATAGCCAACAATTATTTCAACTTTTAGACTTGCATCTGGTACAACAAGAAATGTATGATTTGTCACAAAACCATCGACCTCAACTGTTTCTGTAAATTCACCCAACACGACAGTGGCAATATTGCCTAAGCCAAACAGTTTAGTAAAATTCTTTTGCAACTTTTGGTCACCGAAAATGTTTTCATATTTTTGTTTTCGCATAAGTGAAACATCCGCGCCAGTGTCAATCAAACACGATACAACTGCTTTCCCGATTTTTATTTCTTTAACGCGATTTTCCTTTAATACAATGTTAACGCTTTGTTTGCTTGCCACGCACTGCTTCGCTATGTGACCGACACCGTTACACTTAAAACATTTTGTTTCTCGTTTACATTCTGCCCGCTTATGTTCTGTTGAACCGCAATTGTAGCAATGCTGCTGTTGTTGTTGTTTGTCTCCTACTTTATCAACGTTTTCGCGACGTTTGTTATACGAACTGCTCTTTGCCACTAATTCAGTAAGCTCATACCGACTTCGAAGTTCTTTGTACGTGGGCGCACTGTACAACGGAAATTTTAGATCGTCACGCACGTCTAAGCCATCAACTATATAATTTATAACCGACTGATCTTCAACTTGTCCAAGTGATGCTATTTTTCGCATCTGGAGCACATAATCATGAAAATTTTCCGACACACGCTTTTTCCGCTTTTGCAACATTTTATGTACTTCGGCACTGCTCAGCTGTTTATCAAATTCTTCTATTAAGGCTGCACATAACATTTCATAATTTGATACAGTAATAGTTTCCACAAATAATTTGGCCGTGCCAACCATTTTATTTCTTGCATTCACATACTTTTGTTTTTCACTTAATTCGTATGCCTCGGCGTTTTCGTCGAAATTATTTACCCACTGCTTAACTGGTATAGCTATGCCATCGAAATCAGGGACTACTTTTGCAAAGCTTTCCACCGACACACTGTTCTTGTTTGGGTTAGAATCGTTCTTTTCACTCAGCATTTTAATTAAAATTGACAAATCGTGGTTTTGTATACATGTGTGTGTCTCCTCAGAATACATTCTTTTCTCGGTATTTTCAACTGCGCAATTATCATGTAGTTCGACGTTCGCACCTTTTTCTTTTATTCCTGCCGTTGTGCCTTGTTCGCACTTGTATATATTTATCTCTTTTTCGCACGTATGATTTACACTTTGTTCATCATTTACCACTGCTCTGCTTTCCTCTACCATTTCAAACGTTAGATCGAGATCGTCTACACTTTGTGATGTCTTTCCATTTTCCATGCGCGCCACCGGCAACAGATTTTTCTTGCTTGGTGCGCCATTTTTATTTTTTCTGCTTGAGCGTATCATTTTTAAGCACTGCAACTTTTAGATGTATTATTTCAACTGACTGCGTATGAAAATTTATGCGGCTGAGCCCTTATGTAAGAATCATTTTTTATGAATGCTTCACTTAAAAACTTTGAACTGTTCTGAATATTTGTCCGGCTGCTCGACACGGTTGAGCCCCCATGTAAGATTTATTAGGTTTATAAATCGTTTAATAAAGTATATCGAGTATTTGACAAACAATAAGAATAGTATTATATAATAACATAAGACTTAAAAATATGTTTAGACGCCGACTTTTGCAACTTCTGACCAACTTTAGTGACTGCTGTACAACTTTACTACTGACGACTGAATGCCACGACTGCTGCTTACGACTGTTGAAAAACGACTATCCCACGACTTCTTCTTAATTACACCTTCGCCTGATCGGGGGTGCCAACTGATGATAATGGCACAAGGATGCCACTTTACATGTATATACACGAAAATTATATCAATATTATTTTAATACACCTATTGTTTAAAACTTTAATTGAATGCTTTATAAGTTATTTTAGACAATCTCAAGAAGGGCTTCTAGATTTGTCACAACTTTGACATATACATACATATATATGCGAGTACATACATAAAGCAAAAGCTTAAATAGTACTAAATTTTTAAACTTTTTATCATGTCTTAATAATATTTGAAGGAAGAAGGAAGCATCTCCGGCCCATAAACTATATATATTCTTGATCAGCATGACGAGAGAAATCGATCGAGATATGTCCGTCCGCCTGAGAAAGAGCGAGTTTATTTTATTTTTTGGAATTGGTTTTTCTATTGAGTTTGAAAAAATTTGCCCACCACACGCTTCTCATACGAAACATTTCGTTGAAGCCAGAAGCCTCTTTGAATATATCTCTTTATGGTAGAATGCAATGCTCTTGAATCTGTCAGACACACGAGTACATAAGTACTTGACGTACCACACAATCGGTCACTTTAATCAGATATCATTTAAGTAATACATATAGCATGGGCATCATCATATGGAACCGAAACAATATAACTTTTATTAACAGGTGGATAAATAATGATAGTTATGAATGAATCTGTCGGTTGGCAAATGATATTTTATTGCCTAATTGTCGCTCTCACTTTCGCTTGTTAAGGCGAATATGTACTTCTCATCGTCGTCGGACCCGGTATCGTCTTTTATGTTAAGCTGGGTAATGGGCAGTCTTTTTCTTTAGAATAACACGAATAACATTGCTTGTGGTTGGATATTTGAAATTATGTAGAGATTTCTCATTAATAGCCGTATAGTATGCATAAAGCTTAACTGGAAGCTTTCGCGTAATCTCCCCATTCCTTTTCTCAATGTTTATCTCATCGCTGATGAGAGTCAACAGGTTTGGCGTCACACTCAGGCAACCCTCAAGAACAATCTCGTGGAGCAGCGGACAGGCATTGACTAAAAATGTAATGGTGTGGTCAGAGATTTGGGGGCAGTCGGAGATATTGAGGCGTTGCTGGAGCTGGCCAAATTTCTTAAAGCCATAAACATGCATGTGGTAGTTATGGCCATTGGACAGAGAGCACAATGCGCTCAGTTGAGAAATCAGGTGTGCGACTTCAATGTTCCATGTTAGTTTCCAGTTGCGTCGTACTTGTATCTCCAAGTGTTCCAGCTGATTGCCTTTGTGTCTGAGGAGTGCCGTGAGGAAATCGTGTCCCAAGCAATAGATCGAGCGATGAACGTTAATTGTGAGCTTCTTGAGGCTCGGCAGCTTGGCAATGCTTGCATAGTTAACAGAGTGGTAAGTAAATGTGAGCTCCTCCAGAGCTGGACAGTCGGCTACCATTAACTGCCAGGCGTGTGTCGATAGCCAGACATTTGTTAAGTTCAGGACCTTCAGGCTTGGCAAGGCCTTACAGAACTTTGTTGTGTGAAAGTCATCGAGGGAAATGCAGCCCGTCAGGTTGATCGTTTCGATTGATACTGGCATTCGAAGATGGTGTATGTCGACCAGTTGTTCGTTGTTGGTCAAGTCCAAGTGCTTCAAGCCACTGAGTTGTGTGAGAGGCAACATATTTGAAACATTGCACTGACGCATTCTCAATTCCATTAGTTGGTTTTTGTTCTGCAATGCCTTTGACCACTGGCGTGGAGTCAAGAAGCTGAGATCAACAAGCATTGATCGAACGTTCTCACAACAACTACCGACCAAGTCCAAAAAACACTCCAATTGATTGGGCTGGATAACGCCCTTGAGTTGTTTGACATTCTTGCCTGACATTCGGAAGAAAAACTTCATGTCTTCCGTTGACATGCCGGCGAATTCGGCGAAATCCAAGGTCCTGTGCATTAACAATGAGGCGCCTTCAAATATCCCCTCCATGCGCCAGCAGGAGCGGGCTAATTGAACCTGATGTATCAGTGGCAACAATCTAAAGATTTCAGTTATGGAGTTTTCGGGCACAGCCAATATTGACATGTCTGGCTGCAGATTGTTGTGCTCTTCACAGTTTTCATCCAGCGCTTTTCGTAAAGCCTCCAAATCTGTTCTTTTTTAACACGCTTTTATTTTAATGTGTTTCCACAAATTTCTGAATTTCTCTAACTTCAGTCAAACTTATTGATTCTGATTGAAATATCTCTAAAAGTCTGCTTTATTCGCTCCATATTGTTTAAGTGAAGTTTTGTATTAATATTATTATTATATATTATTATAATACACTATAACACAAGCTTACATAAGTATAATATTTAAATCAAATTTAAATGTATTTACAATTATTTAATAATTGATTAGCACAACTGAAAAATCTAATATTATAGGCTTTCGTATGCAGTTCTCTTTTTACCATTCTTCTCCCAATTTTTTAAATTTAGATTAATCCACATCTTCTTAAAATCTTTGTTCGACTTATAACCCAAAATTTTTCAGCCAAAAATCAATTATCTAGATTATCTAGAAGAACAAACCGTTTGATTTGTTCGAAGCTTCTAATATCAAGAAATAGAATCGACTAGCTAAAGCTAGTCTAAGTAAAAAGACTTTCAACCGATATAGTAAGTGAATCAATTTTTCAAAATGAGGATAAATCAGGTGCCTCCAATTTTATTTCTTCGAGTATTTTTGTAGAAAGTGGAAGACAAATATTCTCTATTGATCTGAAAAATTTTCAAAACTCTTATTTCGCATTTATGCAATAAAGGAAATGACATTTTTTGTGGCATTTAGTTTTTGACACATTTTCGTTTTTTTTTTTTATATTAATATTAAGAGTCCAACTGGAATAGTTTATTATTAATTCATAATAATTAATTAATATTTATTTATAAATACAATACTTTAATGTCTACCAATTGCATTTGTTTTTGTAGTGAAAGTAGAATTTTTGTTGATTATTTATATAGTATGTGTTAGAGAATGATTGTATTAAAGACTAAAATGGTTCATTGAATAATAATATTTAAATTGTTATAGAAGCCATTAAAAGATAGAATTGGAAATGCATCTGAAATGAAAAGTAGTGCAAGTAGTGCCTAATTGTGGCTTAAAGAACTGCAATATTTTTGGGGACAGTGTATTTAAAATCGTTCTCTCTCTCTGCCACATTTTGTTTGCTCTTGATACATTTTTGGCTTGCCCCATAGATGATGTGCTATTAATGGTTTTGGTCGGAGAGTGCAAAGCCACAGACACACAAACACACAGCCACACAGAGACACACACACACACACACATACGCACATTCACAAGAACAATAATAGGGAGCCACAAGTATGCACAGTTGCACCATTTGTGTCATTTGCGCTAATTGCGCGCTGCATGCACTTAAGAACGTCGCCATTGCCACTCGACGCTTGGCACTTGCAACATGCGGCACAAACGCACAGTTGTTGTTGCTGTTACCATTAACCGTTCACCATACCGCTTGCCTGCGCCATGGCAAGCAATTGAACTTATTTGCCATAATAAATTTCCCATTAACATTTCGTGTAACCTGAATTAGACACCGAACCGCAAATTTTGGCAACGATGCGTCGCAACGGCCAAAAACTATGCCAAGAAACCGAACCTGTTAACCCTTACAGAGATCTTGTGCCTCATCTACAACACATAGAGGTAGGTTCTTTTTTATAGATTGTAGTACACCTAATGCTGTTTTTACACGGTCTTTTTCTACATGGTTTTGATTTAACACGGCTTGGAAATTAAAAATTGTATATATATTTCTTTAGAGATAGGGAACCAATCCTCTTTTTGCATATGATCGATGTCTTTTTTAACACAATTGTTTCTAGAACCATGTAAAAATAGAATTAGGTGTATTTTTATTATCTTCATAATACTCATGTGAAGATTTTTCAGACCTTTTTTTTGCAGAAACTATAGAATGGTGAAATGTTTTTACTTCTCTATCTATTTTCAATAATTTATAAAAAAAAAAAATTATTATTATTATTACTACTCCAGTAAATGTGTATCTGTTATACATAAGTCCTGTAAATATTGTAATTAGTCGAAGTACTTATACTACAAAACATAGCAAAAGGCCTTCAGTAGCCAGGACTATTTCATACTAAGCTACACTATAAATTGATTTGTAATCTTGTTATATAATAAAATAGTTGAGGAATAAAAACTGTGATGTATAAGGGACCTTTTCATAAAATATTCTTTCGTTAGTTGGGATCAAATAAACTGCTAATATTCGCTGAATTCAATATGTTACAGAGAGGGTTAAGCTGAGGAGCTAGAGGGTGGGCGCGATATACAGACAAGGCGCTCTATATTGAAACTTGTGCGAGGCCAGCAGAGATACTTTTCGCAGCAGTAGCAGTAGAAGTAGCAGTAGCAAGGAGTATATGAAAATTTTACTCGTCAAAGTTTTGAATTTGATGACTTGAAACAGTTTCGAAATTTGGCTTGAGTGCGACTTCTGGCTTCCAAGTGCAAGTGTCAAGTGTGTCGAGTGTTGAAGTTCAAGTATGTGTGTGTGTGCGTGTGTGTGTGTGTGTGTGTGTGTGTGCATGTGTGTGTTTACAGGGAAATTATTCAGGCATATTAATGGTACGCTTCATGTTTAGAAATCGATGTGTACACGACGAAGGAATATCAGCTACGTGGAGCTCTCTGGGCAATTTATCAAAAAATGTTTGCTATGGTAAATAATAAGCTAAGTTTCCCCAACAACAACAGCCGCCTGTTGGAAGCCAGCGACGAGCCCTGGGCAAAAACAACACCAACAATAATAAGTGAAGAGAGCAGTCAAGGTAAACTTAAACAAAGGGCAAATTTCAGAGAGTTGACGGCAACAATCAAGACACAAAACTTTTCACGCAACTTATGAGCTTTTGGGTGAAAGCCAGTTTGTATGTGTGCGTGTGTGTGTGCCAGTGTGTGTGTGCCAGTGTGTGTGCGAGTGTGTGCCAATGTGTGTGAACTGTTGAGTATGTTTGTGCAGCTGCTAAGTTCGCCTCCATTCAATGGAGTGACTGCCAGACAAGCTTCGTTCCTGCCGCTGATTTTGCTGGCCAATGAAGTGTGACAAATTTACCAATTTCCTTGCTGCCAATTCAAATGTGGGCCACGCGACCACGCCCACCTGTCAGCAGTCGCGACCCACGCAAACATGTTAATTTCTCGTTGTACTTTCAGCTCACGTCGCAAAAGACTTGGCCCATCGTGTTGGCGCCTTCCGTGGCCTTAGGAATTCGTTCGATTGACTCTTGTTTGCTTCTCAAATTTTCCATTGCCTACTTTTCAGGGCAGGAGTGCTTGACATCCGTCTCTTCTGTCTATTGCAAACGGCTGGTAATGGAGTTCAAACAACTAAGCTTTCAGTAAGCGACATATTTGTGGTTGTGCCTCTTAAAACATATCAGTGTTAGATCGAGAAAGGGAAAGAGTAGAGCAGAGTAGTAGAGTGTAGGTCAAGAGAGTAAAAAGATAGTGTTATAGTTGTAGAGATATAAAGCAGGTACTGCAAATAATGATTAATTTGTTATTTTTCAACGAAAAAAATCATTCACTTATACTAGCATTGAGAAAGCAGGCTCTTTACAGATATCCTTTTTTAAAGAATATCTATCAATTTTCACCATGATTTATATATTTTTTAATTTTTATTCATTCAATAAAAATTTAATAATTATTTTTGAGTGTAAATTTAAAAATAAACCAAATTTTTGGCCAAAAAAAAAAATAAAACTTAGAAAATAATGCGTTTTATTTTTTTGATCAAGAATTAAACTCAACCTGTAATTTTAACTTTTTCTTAAAGATTAAGAACAAAATTTATATATACCCTTAATCAGTGAGACAAGGCGAACATTTTTCATTAATTAATTTTTAATTAATGGAATACGAGAAATAAGAAAAGGTAAAGAAGGTACCAACAAACATCATAGTTAAAATATTAATAAAGGAAAAGGGACTTAGCTTCTATAATAGTGTCAAGAAAAACTAAATGGAATAAAGCGATCGAGAGAAGCAACTAGACATATATAACAACATATATTAACACATAATACATAGATATTAAATATTATACAAAAAATAAATACTTTCTAAACGCGCTTCAGTTGAAGAAATCAAATTATAAAAATTAATATTTGCTGATCTATAAATTTAATTTAAATATAATATTTATCAACTTTTTAGCTCTGTGTTTAAAATATTTTCAAATTTGGTTTAAATTTGTGTTTCTTTCGACTGTCTTGTTCCTTTTACTCTTGCACACATATGGCTTTTGAGCGTTAATATAAATTCTTTTGGCTTGACTGCAATCAACTGAAGCCCTCTTTACAATTTACATGTTACAATTTATTTTAGTTTCTCCTCTATTTATATGTGTAGAGCAGCGCATTCTGTTAATCAACTTAACTCCATCTACCGCCGACCACAATCGGCCTGCTTGCCAGCATCTTCAAAACAATCCGACAGAGCTCACTGGGCCCGCTCCCTCCCTTTTGTGCCGCACTGTGCATTCCCATTTCTCCCAGTCCTTGACAAAGTGCAGCAGAACAAACGTTTTTACATGCGGTTGCGCTGCGGGCGCTGCCTTTGCGCCAAAAATTATGCAGCAAAAATAACTTGCTAACTTTTGCACAGCACATCAGAACGCCAAACAGTTTCCTACTCTCTCGCTTTCCCTCTCCGCTTCCCCCTCTTCCCCAGCGCACACACACACACACACACACACACACATTGTCCGCGCCCCTCGGCCCTCGCTCATTTGTAGTGTACACGTAACTGCTGGCGGGCGGTCGCCGATGGTCGCGTAGCGGGTCCATCGCACTCTGGGATACACATTTGAAATGCTGGCTAAAATTTCAGATGGTTGTCAGCAAGCGCCGGTCCACAAATGAAGACGCACTTTATTTATGCTCTTAAAACATTTTGATAGCCGAAAAAAGATTATTTTCGATCGTAAATTATTCTAGAGACTAATAAAAAAATATGCAAAAGAAGGTAATAAAAAA